TGTAAAGCATACAGACACACATTCATCTGGAAGCTTATGTGCGCTTGAAAAGTGCCAAGTGAGTTTCCTAGCTGAAAATGATGTGTGAGAATACTTAGTTGTAAATTGAGTCTGACATTCAAGACTTTCCATAACACAGCGGACCCGCTTGGCCATTTGTCGTATAAAACCGCTTATATATATGTATATATACATACATACATACATATGTATTCTTGTGTTTGTGTTCATGTGCATTTGAAGCTCTCTTCGAGTGCACTTGATGAAAATGTTTCAGCAAATTATCACATGCACTCACTAGTGCATAGGAACACACTACTTACTTACTTCTTGAGTCGCTATCACATGTCTACGCATAATATTCACATTATTACCAATTTATTTATTTCCATTTATTTGTTTAGCTTTTCCAAATAATTGTAATTGGAGCAAAACAGCTGATATGCACTGATGTCAAGTAAAAGTTGAAGTAGCAGACTGAAATGTAGCAGAACCTTTGCTAAACACACGTTTACTCCCAGTACTCAGTTTTCTTGTCCGTCCGCTGTAACCCAATATAGCAAGTGTCACACGCTAATATTGTATTTATTCTAATTGTCTTTTGTTCGATCATTTTCAAGGCTAAATGTATGTATGTATATTTTATTTTATTCAGCCACCTATCATGTATTAGATAGTTGTTCAGTTAACTCACGTAGGTGCTTACACACACATATTTACTGTCTAAACAAATCTAATGAACAGTGAAAAGTGTTGATAACAAGTCAAATAAACATTGTAAGTGTAGAAACTAATTTTTCTTGTTTTGCTATATTGTGTTGCTCACTAATTATTGAAGAGTTACACTCGTGAGCACCAACGCCGAACTGTCGCTCGATAATTTTCCATTACTTAACACTTCCTCTGATTGAAATTCGAATAATATGTTTTATGAAACCTACCATACCACCTAAAACTCGTACCGGAATATTAAGGAATCTTGTTCGGCTTTCAGATTTTTCGTTCTTGAGCGGGTATTCTAGTCTAGAGACATGAATTTTGGGTAATTTTTAAAGTGTCGTAACAAAAGGCAAGCAGTATTTTTAGTATCGATCTTTTTATCAGTTATTTATTAGTGTTACAGAAAAAGATTAAAAAAATAATCTGACCATTCAGTAACCTTCAATAACTTCAGAACTAGCAGTTTAGGCTAGAATCATCTCATCTGAAAGAAAAATATTTCAGTAAGCTGATGAACAAGCAGCTTTACGTTAGCTTTGTGGAGCTTTTGAATATACCATTTGAACATTGTACAGATTTGGACTGAATTAAACTTTTGCTTCCCAAAATATAATATAATCACTACCGCTTTGTTTTACCTGCATTTGCAATAAATTCAATCCTCCAAGGGTCATTAAAATGCGCCCATGTTAGAAAACTCGGTAAGAGAAAGCCTTTCACGAAACTAGCTTTATTAGTGTAATAAGCGAGATTCCGAGCCAACTTACACTCGTGCGCTAGTCGTCTAAATCGCTTTAAATCTATTGTCGATATTTAAACTTTCAGGTCTATTCATGTCTATTTTATCTGCTGCGTTAGCTATTAAATTCTTTCTAAATCTATAGTCGATGTGATTGAATTTCATGATAATTCTTTTTTAAAAGGAATTCCTTTTAAAATGTCCTGAAATCGTTGACAATTTTCAATCTTCACAATTTCAGAATAAGATACTTCAACTGCTGTTGCGAATTATTTTTTACACTCCAATAATCTCGGAATGTCTAATAGACAATTTTAGCTTGAAGGTAGATAAAGAAATATAGAATTCTATTATTTCAAAACAGCAGCAAAGCATTTATATATATTTTTTCTATAATTATCACTCCATCAACTAAATAACCTTGAATTGCACACCTTACACATAACACTTGATAGTGTCACTTTCTATCTCAAATAATTTGCTTCATTTATAACTAAATATTTTTGATTTTTGTAATGCGGTCCGTATAGGCAATGCAAAAAAACTTCACCATAAAAAATTAAAAAAAAAGGGCCACCGGCGATTGGAAAATGAGTAATAATGCGCGCATGGTCGACAAGTTCAGCTTATCATGAACACCCAACCAAATGATAAGATATGGCGAAAAATATTTGTATAATAAATTCTTATGCGAGTGTAAAAGGGTGCGAAATCGGCTTGTGTGGGTTGGGTGGGAAACCTTTGCGAGTTCAACCGAAATGATATTGGTGTTTGTTTTATCTTTTTCAAATATTCAGGCATGTGTTTGTGTGTGTGTTCTGTTCGTTTGCATTTTGTTAAAGGTGACTTCAGATTTTATATATTTCATTTGCTCAATTCTTTGGAATTTTATGTAACGCAACACATTGTTTGCTAAAATTTGCAAAGATTTCTTTGCAAATTGCATACGGTATTATTACGTGTATATGTATATACAGTTAAAGAAAAATTCCCAAGACTCTCGAACATCTTCTTCACAAATTCCGTGAGTGGGTAATACGGTAATGCAACGACACGTGACATGAACTCTAGTAGAATATTAGTCCAGAATATTAGGTCCTGTAACCACTGAAAGCTAGAAACCGCACAACTCGTATATTCGTACCACCTTAATATTTCATGAGCTTAACATTACTTCTATGTAAGTGAAGATTACACGTAATCATAGGTAGTCCTAAGTGACCTTTGCCTGGAAAGACAGTTGGAGTATGCCTCGTACAATGGGTTCTCATATAAATGATTAATAGTTTAGGCGAGTTTTTGCAAATAATCGCGTGGTTTTCTTAATTTTTTTTCGAATTGCGCTGGAGCAATCCGACAAACTTTTATTAGATATAAAATAAAAATTAAAGCTTTTAAGATAAATGCTTCTTGCCACTTATATTTATTTTAAACGATACGAAAAAATTCAATAATCTGCATTTTTATATAATCTCAGATGAGATTCGACCATTAAAATATCTGTATGATTGATTGTTCCAAAATCGAAATCGGCACACATACATACGTCTGTATAATCATAAAGCCTCAATCTGTGAGGAGCTCGCACTGCTTTTTCTTTAACTTTGTAATGATTATTCTTTGGTAATATTAGCAACCAATTTAAATACTTGGATTTTATATACATGTTTATATTTCCTACGCCAAATATACGAAATAATTTGGGACCAAATTTGTTTGTTTGTTGGAAACTTCGCTAATAGGCCAGTGCAGAAGCCTTTAAAAATGGTAAAATTGAAAAATCATAGTAGGTTGAAATCCATTGGAAAAGAAAGATATATTAACATAAATTAAAGAAACGATAATTTACGGACGATCAGCGGTCAGGAAGAGCAAAAAAATTTTGAATTTTTAGGCAATAGAAAGATCTCCAACTTTTGTATTCACACGTTTTTCACATAACCTCAATCAAGTTTATTTTTATCTTACAAAAAAAAAAAAAAAAATTTAAAACTGGTTTTAACTTACTTTTTAATGTATTTTTATTTAAAATATTTATTAATTTGTTTCCCTTATTTTGACTAAATAGCGAAAAACCACACTAATTTTCAATTAAAAACTCCCACATTAAAATATCAGATTTTTATAAATCAGTATTCTCTATGTTCGTTGAAAACTCTACCTTCTGTTGGTTTACTAAAAATATATATTTGCATGCATTACTATAATAAGTTTTCTCAGAAAATGCAAAAAAATGCCGCACTAAACGAATCACAGCTGCTCTCCTTCTTTTCCAATCGGTTTCATCCTACCATAATATTTTGGGCTTTCAAGAATTATTTAGCCTGGTCTATAAAAATTTGATCAATCAGAAATCTTGAATTCTATACCCCATATGTATTTAAAAATCATTCGAAAAAAATCGTTTCATAACTTATTTTGATGGATTCTCTGAGCTGTAATTGCACTGTGGTGAACATGTAATCGCTGTAGCCCCAAATTGTAAACCCAAGTATCTTATCAATGCGAGTAGCGCCAAAATAAATATAATATAAGACTCGTATGTACACATATATACGTGTATCAAAACAAAGCCTCTACAAAGCCAAACACACTCACGCACACACGTTTGTATGCACAGCCTTAAAACTACAAACTGATAAGATAATGATTATGCCTAAGTAAAACCACACAGCACAGTTTTGTTCGTTTTTTCTGTAGATTCTTACAAATGGAAATTAAAAAGGAGCACTATTTAAAGAGAAGATCGAGAGCGGTTAGTCAGTTGATATATTATGCAAAAGTTGGCAAGTCACTTCTTTAAATAAAGCTACGCTATATGAAGCTTCCAATTAGCAAGTGAGTGAAATGTTACCTAAGATATTTGTGGAATTGCAGGTGAGACATTTTGCAACGAAAAAGAAGGTGAAAAAGTCATAAGCCGCAAGTTAAAAGTAAATAATAGAAAACTTATCTTGTACTAATAGTCTAGAAGACACTTGCAATAACTGAATTTGGTTTACTAAAGCAGAAGTTTGTGTATGTTTAGTGATAGTTATCATATCTTATCAGTTATATACTCAAATATACATACATATGTGTTTTAAGTACTCTCACTCTTTTGTGCGATTACTCACTCTATCGTAAACATGATCTCTGAGAGTTGGTTTAAGTAACTCCAAATTTGAAGAGTGAAGCTTTCAAAGCTATCGATTCACATTCGTTTTATTGTAGTGAGCGTGAGTGAGATAGTTTTGGCGAATGAAGCACCTGTTGAGGGCTGTGCGGAAATTTTTACCATTACAAAGTGATTTTTTTGCTTAATAAGTTTAACCTTAATATAGTTGAGATCATTTAATCAAAGTCTTAAGGTTTCTATATATGCATTCAGTGATCAAATGTCTCTTACAACTCCTGCATTTCATAAATATAAACGGCTAAAATATTCGGTCGAAACCACGGTTCTGAAAAGTTTGGTATATAGGCTCGTTTACTCATTGAACTACTCGGCTGTAGCCAAAATTTAATCCAACCTTACAAAAATCTCACTTTATTAGCTGTTATTATTTAATTGACGATTTTTAGAGAATATATTATATAAATATGAAAAATTCATTTTATGAAGTGTTTTAGTTGCTCCCCATGTGAGAGAACAAGAAAAGTATTAGGGTGTGCGAAATGATGACTTCACATCAGATGATCTTCCAATAGTAGGTTGTGGTTGTTCAAAACGTTTATCAATGTGAAAGATGAACTTGCTTCATTTTATATATAAATTATACTTGTCGAATATCCTTTATGTTATAAGAAATTCACCTGTGAAGGATATTATGGTTCCATGCAGTTGAAGTTAATGTTTTTTCTAGATTTTTTTATGTTGCTTGCATATATACTTTCTTACTTATCGCAAAACACTTAAACAATGCAATTGGCCTGTAAAAATAATCTCAATTGAGAATTAATTCCTACCGGCCCGCTTATCAGTTATTGTGACTAGAGAATAGGTACCACTTTTCGATTACATGTGCTTTGCTGCGAGTATTTGCATTGCTCTCCACTCACACGCTCGAACGCTCTGCGTTTTAAATTCGCTTAAGCGCACTTGCCTTAGTATTATCGGCATTTGAGCCCATCGTCACGCAGCAGATTTTTTGCGACCACCTCACCGGTTTGTCTCACCGTTCGTTGTCCATTCATAGTCGATGCCAGTAGCGCTCAGCTGCCGCTGCCGCTGCCGCTTTGTATGTACATCTGCCGTGTACTCGCGGCCTGCACAATACAACACACACAGCGGCACGATAAGCGCACACAAATGTAGCTTGCTACCTCATTAGCGTGTTTGTTGCCATAATGCTGCAAGAGGTGGGTCAGGGAGGATCACCAAGCGAGCAACTGTGTGTGTGTGCGTGCATATATGCCGCGTGCACTCTACTCGCTGTGCTCCACACCACCATTCTTCGTATGCCCGTGCTTTATTGCCATTTCTGTTTGTATCTAAGTATGTGTATGTGCGTGTGTGCATCTGCCACTGTCCGCGTGTTCCAGCTGCGAGTACGAGTGCGAGTACGACTAATTTGTCTTTTTTAGTGTGTATTTCTTTTATTGTTTTTATTATTTTATTCTTATATTATATTTTTGGTTGTGTGTTTTCACGCGCTGAGTACCCGTACGTCTATATACATACATTCGACTACTGCCTGTGGGCTTAGCTTAGCGTTTGGCGGTTGTTGTTGGCCTGCTAGCGGCTGGTTGGTTGTCTGACTGCTGGCGCTGCTGCTAAGGTTGCTTTTGCGTTTGAGCGCTTACTTGTCGAAGAGCTTTCGTGCTGAGCGGTTGCAGCAGCGTGAATTGCTTGCTTTTGGTTTACTTTGTTTACCGATTCGATCGTTCGATTATTGTGTGTGTGGTGTGCGATCCAGTAAGTTTGCCATTCGCTATTGTCGGTCGGTCGTTGTTGGCGGTGTCACGCGTTTTTCAGCGTTTCGCAGTTTACAATTGAATAAATTGTACAAATTTGTATTATTTATTGCTGAAAAGAAAAAAAGTAACAACAAACAGTACTAAAATTGTGAGTAAAATAATAACGGTACGATAACGTGTTTCTAAACTGTTTTTTGAATGTCTGAAAAAATAAAAGCAAAAAATTGTGTCAGTATTGACGTATATTTGCCCACGGTACTGCCCACCTTCTTGTTGCGCTTGCTTTTATTTCGGCTTCTGATTCAATTTTTTTTTAGCAATTACACTTTTTTTTTGCAAATTTCACTTCGAAATTTATTCTTTCGCAAAACAACGGTTAATAAAAGCGCACAATATCGTTGCAACAACAACAATGACAGCAAAATCAACGACTAACCCGCAACAATAATTTAAGTGAAAAAAGAGTGGAAATAAAAAAGTGTTGTTTTTGCACAAAAAAAAAAGGTTTGTCGCCAGATTTAACAAAAAACACAATAAATTATTTTTATACCAATATTTTTGTTTTCTTTGTATTTACCCACTTTTGTGCTGTTGTTTGCTACACATCGTGCGTTTTTTTGCTTTTTATCTCATCTGCTAGTGGCTTGTGTGCACATTGTTGTTGTGGGCGCTTGATTTTTGCGCCTGTCGCAAACATTTTGACATTCGTTGTTTTGCCTGTTTTTGAATTCAAAAACAAAATAACAAAAAAAATTAATTGAAGAAAAAAAAATCAGCGCGGTGTGTCCTTACATTTGGCTTTTATTGTTTGCGTTCGTTTTCGGTGTGCCAATGTTATTGTTCGTGTTGCTGCTGTTGTTGTTGCCATACAGCAACCGCATCAGCGGCAATAGCCACCAAGTGGCAGCAACACCCATTGATATCGGCGACATATGGTTGGCACAGTCAGTCGTTTGTCGCTTTTGAAACGCGCCGCGTCGTCGTCGTCGTGAAGTGTTTGTGAGAAGAAATCAGCCGCCTAATAGCCGCATAAGATCTTCAGACACACAGCACACACCAAATGAAGAACAAGCACAAGAAGATACATTAAAATGATATAAAAACTCAGATGTGCAATACAAAACCCAAAAATAAAAATAAAAACTCCAACAACAACAACAACCCAAATGAATGAAATAAAATTGAAATAATCACAGCCAAAAGCATTGTTGCGCCCGATTTTTGTACGCGTTGAAGGACTTTCGTTGACATTTGGTTTTTGGCTGCGGTCGCCGCAACTGTCTGCAAGAATTTCGTGTTCATCTTTTTTTTTACATTCTAAATTTTAAATTTTTAACTGCCTGTTTTTCGTGTTTCGGGGCGTGGTGTACTGTTTTTTTGTGCGCACCAGTGTATGCCTTGCGGTGCATAAATTTAGCGTGTGTGACATTGAAAAAAATAAAAGCAAAAATATTCATACATACATATCTGAATTTCCAACTTTTTATGTTTGTTGAAATTATTTTAAATATTGCAAATTTGTTACATTAAAAGTGAAAGGGTTTGAAAACAATGCAAATATACACACGAATAAATTCAAACAATGCTGTATAAAAAAATGCAACAATAAATTAAAAGTTGAAATTTCGAAAACAAAAACAAAACTTCCTTATGAGAAAAGCCTCAATTGAAAAGTAAAGCGACACGACTCTTTACAAACTAATAAATCAATGTGAAAAAATAATATTTTTTTTATGAAATAAATTCTCATAAAAAATCAGTGTGAAAATATATATATATATTTTTTTTTTTTTTAAATAAAAGTTCATGAATTTGTTCGAAAAAATTAAATAAATAATTTCCGAAAATTACTTAATGAGAATTAGCATTAACCAATAATTCACTGCTGTTAGTTGAAATGCTCACTACTTACCTGTTTTTGTTATTTATGGCTTTTGGCATGCGTTCTGAAATTGAAATATGGAGGATATTAAATTTAAGAAAAATTACAAAAATCTAAATTTTTTTTTTTGCGTTTTAAGTACGTTATTAATGGGATAAGAGAAAGTTTCAGGATTTCAAAAAAAATTAAAAATTTTTTTTTTGCTTTTTAAATTTGTAATATTAAACAATAAATTCACGTGATGAGAATATATGTAAGTCGAAAGTACCAAAAAAATTTAATTGTATGCCTTTATTTAAAAAACATGTAAAATAAAAAATGTAAAATTCTTAAAATATAAAAACAATAAACAAGAAATGGTAAAAGTAACATAAAATCAATAATAATAAATATATGAAATATACAAAACTCTAAATAAAATAAATATAAATTTAAAAAAAATGGAAAAAGAGATCAAATATCGTAAAGTAAAAAATTATATATTATATAAAGAAAAAGGAATTAAAAAATCACAAAAATAATTTTATAAAATACTTAAAATTAAAATAGTGCATAGAATAAAAAATTAAAAAAAAACGTATAAAATAATAAATTTCGAAAATATTTATGGTATACGATCTAAACTAAAATGGTTTTTATACAAATATATTGTATATAAAAGACTAAAATATAACCTTATATATTATGAAGTAAATAAAATAAAAGCTAAAAAAAAGTTAATATAAAAAAAAATTTGTAGAATGCCACATATTACTACAACAAACAAATTAATTTCTGATAAAGTACAAAAAACATTAAATAAAAGTAATTACTAAATACACAATTTAATGTTTGCAAAAACATAAGTAAATTTAATTGTTAGAACGGACAAAATATAAAAAAATTAAAATGCCTTTCCAATAATTAATAGAAAAAAACAGAGTAACAAGAAATAAAAATTATTCATAAAAATTAAAAATTATATTCAAATAAATTAGATTAAAATTCGTTTCCGACACTGATAATTAACAGTACCTAAAAAAAATTTATTTACAGTAAAGTTCAAGTGAAAAAAAATGTTCAAAAAAGAAATTATTTCATTAAAAAATTGTTTTGAAATAAAAAATAGTTTCAATTCAAAACAAAAGCTGTTTTGAAAAAAAATTATTTCATTTAAAAAAATTATTTTGAAAAAAAATATTTCGTTTAAATAAAACTGTTTTGAAAAAATTTTTTCATTTAAAAAAATTGGGTTGAAAAAAATTATTTTATTAAAAAAAGTTGTTTTGATTTGAAAAATTTTAAATTAAATACTATCCACTTTTTATTAATAATAAGTTGTTATTACATTTAAATTTTTAATTTTTTTTTGATTTTAAAACCATTATGTAAATATGTACTTCGTTTGACAAAAAAAAATATTATATTGATTTGTAAAATATTTTCTTTAAAACACATAATAAATTCTGCCAAGGCTATCGAGAGTAAGCTTACACTTTTTTATTTTCATAGACTCTAAATTCTACTTCGAATATGTAAATATATGTATTGTGAGGTACTAATATAAATATACTCAAAAATGATTAATCATCTTACTGTGCAAGAAACCTCGTCTAACGGCTAACAAATGCATCGGAAAACCCCCTAAAGCTTAGAAGATCACATGAGTAATACTTTAAAATTTTTTGCATAATGTACTAAGAGACATATTTTATTTGAAATTAAATTTCTGTTTTTTTTTTTTTTTTTGTTTGCTTACTGGTTTCGTAAATTAAAATTTAATTGTATGCAAATTATTTAAAATGACTGATCACACATTTACAGTTTTGATAAATTTTTCGAACAAATTCATAAATTAAATAAAAATTTGCATAAAACATTGGCGAATTAAACATAACTTAACTAAAGTACTTGAGTGAACAAAAAAGAAAGCCTTGACACGCGTAACCTTTTGCTCACTTTATACATACACACACGATTACCTCCAATACATACACATAGTGTTAATTATTCTAATTAAATTTTGCATATATCACCTCCACTTGTAGTATACAACATACATACATACATACATACCGTACATGAGCATAGATATACATATGCCTGTGGGCCTGACTGTGTGCGGATTAATAAAACCTCAATTAAGGCAATAATATTTGTTTAAAACTACACCCAAAAAAAAAAAAACAAATTCTGTGAGACAATGAAAAGTGTTTGAGAAAACGATAAAAAAAAACAACAACCACAGCGTAATAGTTTTCAATTAAACAAGTGAAGAAGGTACCTAACCATAGTGACAAACATACACAAAGTAAAGAAAAATATAAATATTTTCTAAGCGGATTAGCTGAGGAAAAAGTGAAATAAACGCGCTTCACTACAAACCTTACCAAATACTGGGAGAAGGGTGAGTTTACTTGACTAATTAATACTTAAATATATTTTTGTTTGAAGTTACATGAAATTTCCACAGTTGCTAAGCAGTAACGGTATAAAGATTGTAGCTATTAAGCAAGCGTTGTGACTGCGTATGTGTGTGTGTTGTAATTGTTGGACTTTAGCTTATGTAGTTTGAGAAATACTAGGTGGTACTTGTGAACTTAGAAAGCCTCAGCGACTGTACACGCACATGAGTGTATGCATGTGCATTTATATGCATGTGTGTAAATATAAAAATTATAAATATGACTAGTAAAATTTAAAGCGATAAAGTTTTATTATGTAATAATATAAATGTATGTACATATGTATGCATAACTTACACATATGGATGTATGTATGACGTTTGTGCGCTTAAATCGACTTTGAACTTTGCGAATTTGAGTTTCGTATTGTTACATGCGCATATGCATACTCGTATATACGCATTAGGGTGTGCCGAATTCTTTTTATTTTTTTTCATGTCGGTTAAGAGGCTATACATATTCACCACTTTTTCTGAGGTCTTCCTGTAGATCGCCTACAAAATCAAGATAATCTCAAATATCACCAAATAAATCAGCGATTGTTAGGATATTTTAAATAGTGTAAATTTATATAATTTTTATTTATTTATTGCACAAACAGTTTCTTCACAAAAAAAAAAAAAAATAAATAACCTTTTGTTATTAATATTAATTAAGAGCTCAAAATTGAAGAGGCTTCCTTTTATTCCTAGAAAATAGCCTGCTTTTTAGTTGAAAAAGGGTTATCCAAATATAACACAGCTCCACTAATATTTCTTATTACTTTATTTGCTTACTTTTAAAACACAATAAATTTACTCAACTGTCATTTAAAATGCTTGAAGAAACAACTGCATTATAGTATATTACTATACACACACACTACCTATGTATACATATATATGTATATATATGTACATATGTAGGTATGTGTTCGAGGGCTAATATGCAACAACCATAAAGTCAAATCAGCAGGTATGCAATTAAACAGTTGTAGTTGAAAAGGGCACAGGCGAGGGAAATGATCGTCATGCTATGCGTCTTTTTTACAAACTTGACCCCATTTCATGCATTTTTTTTTTATTTTTCGAAATTGCAAAATTAAAAAAGTTAAAATTTTGATTGCTAAAATATTAAAAAGCAATAACAACAATAAAGATACGTAAACTTACTTGACATTCAACAAAAACCTTTAAGGTGTGTATCGAAAATTTGCTTGTATTTAAAATTCGTAAATACATAGTAATTGAAAAAAACAAACTAAAAGCGAATACAGCTAAAATTTTAATTATAGATTTTACAAATAAAAGGTGTGTAAAAACAAAAAAATATCAAGTATTATTCCACACTTTTACCGGCATTTTCTTCAACAAATCTACATAAAATTTTAAAATGAAAATGAGTCAGCGAAACTGTTTATTTTATTTGAGAAAAAAAAACTTCGTAAAACATTTTCGAATGTTCAATATTGTTTACTAAAAACTAAAAAAACAAGTTTGTTTCGAAATAAAAGTTTTATCATAATTTAGTTTTCTTTGAATTTGGAAATCTTCAGATATGAACTGTAAAGTAAAACTATGATCACATTTTTAGGAAATTTTTTACTATTGGTCTATTTTTTTACTCGAAAATGGTTGGACACATTTTTCAAAAATTTTTTACTGATAGTCTAGTTTGTCTTCATAAATGGTTGGACAAGTAAAAAAAAATCACTACCTTCTCCTCTTAGCATTAAAATAAAAGCAATTTCGAAGTTCGAAATTTAAACAAAATAAATTATTGTTCTCTATAGTAAAATTTATTCATCAAAAATAAACTTTAATATAGGTACGTGTTAATATTTTTAACAAATGGATATACGAATGTAGAGAACATTTCCCATATACCATTTTTGGACATATATACATACAATTTCTAAAAATCATATTTTTATTTGGAAAGTGCAAAATGTGTATAATTTTTTTCTTTTCTTACTGGGTTATCACAATATTTTTTGAAAGTAAACCGCAGTGGCAATGTAGCAATTATATTGCTCACACTGCTGGAGTCGGTGCATGCAATAAGCAGTAGAATAGCCAATTAAAGCGTAAAAAATAAATATATATGTGTATACCAACATTTTTATAATACAATTTTTAAATTATCAGTGTGCAGAGTAAATGAAAATAAATATTGAATGGATAATAATAATATAATTTTAGAAGCTATATAAACATTTTTATCAGGTACCGTTGTTTATATGTGGACTGAAAGACATATCACATTTTTCATATGCAAGCAGTATAATATATTAATTGAATTTAATTGATATTTGCATTAAAAAATAGAATATCATTTCCATAGTTTTCAGTTAATACATCGCTAAATTTCTCTCTTAATGGAGAAATATTTTTTCGCGTTAAAAAGCGTTGCTGTAACTCTTTATTTTTCTATAAATTATTATATATTTTGAGGTTAACGCATTCTCTGTTGCTTCAATTCAACTCGATAACTTTGTTGTGGATTTCACATGTGAATTTTTTGACAGGAGCGCAGAAGCGAGCAGAGAAATGACCAATGGAAAACAGTTAGTATCTAAATCAGTAATAATGGGATGCACAACTCTTTCCAGTGTGAGAGCGCCCAAAATTTACGTTTTTTATAACACTTTCCATTGTAGCCAGAAGGTACAAAATAAAAATGTTTGGGCATTTAAATTCAAACACCCAAAATTTATTAAAATTAAATATTATACATGTATCCGTTAAAAATATGAAATATTATTTTAATCCATTTTGCGATTTTGTGATATATTAAAACACCTGATTTTTGAACTTTACATAAAAAAATGTATTAACTCTCAATTAGTAAATGTTTTTTTTTCATTTTCAATTGAAAATTAATACTACGAAGCATCACAAAATTTTCATCACATTCATTTCATTTTCGCGTTTTCTTTCATTTTCATTGTTTTCCAATTTTCGTTAGTGATCTTCAACAGCAGCAACAAATCTCTCTGTTCACTTATTTTTCTGTAGGATTTCAATCTGGCTGTCCCTCTTTTTCCAATTGCTAAACGTCAGACCTCCTGAATTTTGACAGTTGCCAGAGCTCAGGAGGTTTTGACGTTTAGCAATTGAGCTCTCATTTCCAGTGAGCGATGAGTTGGGCATCTCTTTATCTCTGATCTAAATGATAAGTGTGACGTGCTGAGTCGATTTAGCCATGTTCGTTCGTTTGTCCGTCTGCCGGTCTGTCTGTATATACGCTATCTAGTCCCTTAGTTTTTGAAATATCAATCTGAAACTTTGCACACTTCCTTTTCTCCGTGCTCCTTTTCATAACCGCCGATATCGAAACACTGTAGCATAAAGCTGCCATACAAACTGAACGATCGGAATCAAGTTAAACCTATTTATTCTATTTATGTCATTTCTTTTATATTATTTACATTTTTAATATATTTTTTCCGATTTGGTGTTTGTTTTGTCTATTAACTAACTTTAGTGCAGTGTCATTAATGCTGTTATTATTTTTCTTTGTCATTTAAATTTATCAATTCAAAGTTTACGTGTTCTACTTCTATTAATAGTTTGAATGCCATAGCAGTAATGAAACAAAAAGAGCAAATATAAGCATAGATAGCAACTAGCCCACCTTCAAATACCCACACAAACCGCATATATAAATAAATTTGTGTGAATTTTCATTTCCACGAATTTGAAATTCGGCATTTCATGCATTACTTCTCTCACTGTTTTACTGCCTTATTGCTTAGCTGGTAGCCAAGTTGCAGGCGCATGAATCACAATAATCAATTTTCAATTGCTTACTAATCTGATTTCGTTTAAGCGGTGCGGAACTTGAGTAGACCATTTATGTGCTGATTGACCTTTGAAGTAATAAAAAAGAAAAGAAAATAGAGAACAAAAAGTAACTAATAAAGGAACAAAAAAAATTGTAAAAAATTTAAATTTAAATAAAAGTAAGTAAAAAAGTCTCAAAAATTTAAACAAAACGAAAAAGGTAAAACAACTTTAATGCTAATAAAAAGACGCCAATAAATTGTTTTTTGCCAAAATTGTATTATTTTAATTTTATTATTATGTTTTTTTTTTTATTATATTTCAATTTATTTTAATTTATATAATTTTTTCATATTTAATATTTTTTTGTTGTCATATGTTTACTTGAAATTTTACCAAATTGCACACATGCATAAATTAAATACTTATCTACGAATATTTCAATAAATTAATGTTCACGCTGCTGCTAATTTAAAAGTGGTTTAGTCGCCCACGTAACAATAAAAAAACGTTGCTTCTTTTTTATTGTTGAAATTTCCGTTTTAATAGCGGCAAAAACGACACAGTATGTTCAACTGCAATTTTAGGTGTTCACGCAATAAGTGGGTGTACTAACATTATTTTTCGGGAAATTTTATTAATGCATAGGCGTCTATGAATAAGCATCTAATAAATGATCAAAATTGACACGAAAATAAGCTTAAAATATTATTGCATTTATTAATATTGATGGATTAATTTTTTAGCTTGATGCATTTTTTAGGATTATTAGGAGTTAATCTTAATAAAATAGATACTAAGTTAAAGCATATAAAAAGAAAAAAAAAACAATGTGAATACCATGCGAATTAATATTAGTTTTTTGTTTTGATGAAATTCGATGAAACCGTGCAGAAGCCTTTGAAAATAGTAAAAATTTAAAGAAATTCTTAATAGGTTAAAACGGTTTATCCGGATTACCGGCAAAACTAATCGTGCTATAGAAAAAAGTTATGTGACAAAGTTGTAGGTAATGAAAAGATCTACAACTTTTGTAGTCACACCTTTTTCACATAACCCCAAAACTTATGTGAAAAATTCATATATAATATATATATATTTATTTTGTCTTGTACAAAAAAATTTCTTTCCTAAAATATGTCCCAAACGCACTGTACTCGTTTTTTATTAAATTATTT